ATACCCTCCAACAACATGCTATGGACAGGGTCTGCAAAGCTGGTTAAGTGATATACACATGCAATGATATGATGTATAAATTAAGGTCGATCATCTTATCACCTTTGGCGAATTTTTTCAAGCTCCCTGGGATCACTAACTAAAACTTGGACACCCATTTGCATTTTGGTTTTCTGAAGATTAAAGTCAAGACAGGCAATCTTTGCAGGGGAAACTCTAAGTGGCATTCCTTGTGCAGCACGGCCTGTATTTAGTGCATAACCAGTTAAGAGATAGCTATCTCTTGCACTTTTTCCATGAGCTTTCAAAACATTAATCCCCTGAAAATAAAAAGAGCAACTAAGACAAAGTACTAAAGCAATAACAAAGAAAAGATAGAATAATATAAGGAGGCATATGAGCTTATGATGGAAACTTCATGACCATGTGTATACATAACTACCAAGTACCAACCTTGATTGGGTACTTGACTTCCCCCCGAGCATTGGTCATCTTTACAGCTTGTACTGCATCGACAACCTAGAAAAAGCAATTGTATACTAGGATCGTTAAAACATGCACAGGAAAAAAAAAAAAAAAAAAAAAAAAAACTATGGATTTAACTTCTGCTCCTGAAACCGCAAATAAGATTTGCCAACTATTTAACTTTACATGAGAAAAGGAATTCATATGAGTAACAAATCCAGTAACATTAACCCTTAAGAAAATAAATTCAACTCATGTAAAATTCATTTCTAACGAAATATAAATTCACAATAGCATACCATATTTGCAAAGAAGTCACTGTCACCGCCTATCAACTTTGAGGACATGCTTGTCTTTGCACAATTTACTAGAGAATCTTTTCCAAGCTTGTCAACCTAAGAAAATCAAGGTACAATCAATTAAACAAACAGGAACATTTTTTGTATCAAATGTTTTACAAATGAACCACACATTTCTGTATGTCAAAGCTTAAGGCCTAGAGACAATCAATGACTTATGACTATGAATGTACGAGTAGTAAGCCTTTTTGGCAAGAGTGAATTGAATGTCCAAAACTATTAATTCTTTCCACACTATATGCAATCCTTCCAAACCTCTAAAAAAATTCAGGAAAGAATTCCCACGTATTCTGTACAGCCAAAGTGAAATTTATTCCAATAACAAGAGACCCTTTTACTGCACACATTGAAAGAAGAATTTACTGGAGGAACCTTACCTTCACAGCTAATTTTTCCTCAACATATTTGCATGCTTCCCTCATAGCAAGCTGCACAGAGGGTGATACGGTCAGACATAAGCGGTTCAAATACAAAAGAACAGCACCATGTTATATGCCACAAAATATTTTACAAGCATAGGCTGTTGCTAAATATTGAATCAAAAATAGAAAAAGAAACAAGAAGAGGCGCTCACTCTGTAACCACTGATTATGGATGTTGGGTGAATCTTATTCCTTACAAGATCATTTGCTCTCTGCAGAATTAGAAGCAAATCGTCGATTACCCAGTTAAAAAAAAAAAAAAAAAAAAAAATTCCTTTAGAACATAATATTGCTTCTAGAAAAGCATGTGGGGCCACCTTAAGCAACTCTGCAGCTACAATCACCACTGATGTCGTCCCATCTCCAACTTCTCGATCTTGGAGCTCAGCCAACTCCACAAGCACCTACACATGTATAAATGCATAGTCAGACATGTATAAACGCATCTATATTATCATATTTGCAAGAAATAACCAACTCTCACACACCTTGGCAGCAGGATGCTCAACTTCTAACATCTTGAGTATAGTAGCTCCATCATTAGTAATAGTCACATCACCAATATCATCGACAAGCATCTGAAATGACCAATCAATAAACATAGTAAACTAGCTGAAACCCATGCATACATAATTTATAATATTACACAATTAGGCATACGAATTCACTAGTGATTTTAAGCATCGACTCCACTATGAGGGGCCCGCTCAACTAGCTGAAACCCTTCCATTAGACAAACATCAACTCCACCATTGATTTTTAAGCATACAAATTCACCATAAGGACAACAACTAAAAGAATGAAACTCCATACCCTTGTGGGGACCCCGTTTAGGAGTGATTAGGGCGAGCCAAATCACTAATAGAGTGCTTAGAAAAAATTGAAGAGTGATTTATATAAGAATTAAATAACTTTAAGTAATTATATGAAGAAGCACGAGCAAGTTGCTTCTCCTTGGAAGTGAATTTTTTTAGAAAAATAAGGGAATGTCATAGGGTTTCAATAAAAATTTTGAAATTACCAAAATCACCAATGAGTAAAAGCACTTCTACAGAAGAACTATTGATGACAAATCAAACATTGACTGAAAATTTTGAAGCTTTTAAGTAGTAAAGTACACCAAACAATGTTACTAGATGTATAAAGTAGTAATAGCCCAACTGAAACCTTAAACGCACATAACATCTCAGACTCATACAAATATATATATATATAGAGAGAGAGAGAGAGAGAGAGAGAGAGAGAGAGAGACCTTGTCGAGGCCAACGGGGCCGAGTGAAGATTTGACAATGTTTGCAACAGCTTGGCAGGCCATCACTGTGTTCAACAAAACAAAGTCGGACAAAATTAGCAGCATTTCAGTACGAAACCCTAAAATGGAAAACCCAGATGGGAGAGAGAGGCAGAACCATTTTGAGTGCGGACGTCCTGACCGTACTGACGGTCGCCCAAGATATCGGGGGTCTGAGAGGACATGGTCATAGAAGAGAGAGAGAGAGATGGAGCAGAAACCCTAGATAAACCCTAGATCGGATCTTTGGAGGAAGAACGGAAGAAAACGAGAGGGTTGTAGAAGGTGCTTACTGTAAAAGTGCAAGTGCGCGTAAAATTTGGCTTCGGCAGCCCAAAACCGACTGCGCTAAATCGGAAGGGTTTCGTTCGCTACGACGTCGTTTTAATCTCACTGCCAAAACACCAAAGAGAGTCCAGTCCAGTCCACCTTAAACCAAGAACAAAAAGCCCGCTATTCTATATGGGGCTCACTCTTTTGAGATTGTTATTTTATTTTATATTTTTGGAAAGAGGAGATAACTGGTTTCAAGCCATTCATTTCGGACCTGGAGAGTCTATGCGGAATTTCACCATGTCCTTGACCACAGTCAAACATGCTCATCATTTCGGAGTATCAAACCCAGGACCTCCCACATTTTTTTGTTTATTGGAGAGTCGTAGTCCGTACCCTTATCAGAATTAAGGAAAAAAGAGAGGCACATTTCATGATGTCAACCCAACTGTAACTTGGAAACAAAAAGAAGTCCTCAGCAGAAATTGAGAAACTCCATCTCACCACGAATAGAAGAAAAGAAAGAAGAGCAAAGGGTCTAGGCTTGGAGGAGTTTGAGTTGCTGCAAACAAAATCAGACCATGAGGAGGTGGTATGGGATACAAGGATGTTCGGGGCTTCCATCTTTCCATTTCAAAACCTTGAGTTCCTAGCTTCCCAAATTGTGCAACTTAACAGAAAAAAGAGGTTGAAATTTGGGGATGATTTGTGGAACATGGACACGGATACGGCGATGCGATACTGTACAACCCGGTGATACGAAAAATCTCTAAAAAGTAACATATGATACGCGATAGATACTGCAATTAAAATTATATAATAACAAACAAAGATAAAAATATATAATTTAGAACATATTTTGATAAAATAAAAATATATAACTTAGAACATATTTTGATAACACAAGATCATCCAAATTCAAGTTCATTTGATTTGTTGGAGAAGAAAAGTTAGAAATCTAATTCCCTTGGTCTATATAAAAGAAGGGTGACAGTTGTATTCATAGTTTCAATTAGAGGTTGGCTCTTCTTAATTCATATTTATTGATTTCAAATAAAGCTCCGTCTCTTATTAATTTTTTCTTTTTAATTTCTAATATGGAAGTGTAAAAGTAAAAGCATGATACTTGTATTCCAAATGTGGGATATGTGTATCCGTCAAGTCAAAGTGTGTTTCTTAATTATGATATGTATTTGACGAGTATTCGAGAGTATCCAGCAACTATCATATTCGAAAAGGATCGAATACAGGATACGCAACCAAGGTAAAGTATTCGTGCATCATAGGGGATGATAGTTCCTCAAACAAAGATGTAGAGGAGATCTATTCAATTGTTTTGGTTTTTCTATGTAAATGGGTTTTGGACGTTGAGGGCATTTAGGTCTATTCATGTGAATTTTTTGTTGTTTTTGATTTTTTTTTATTTTTTTATAAAAAGTGACATTTATGAAAGTGAGTGTTAAATTTTGGCTATTATTGATAAATTATCTTTGTATGAAGCAAAATATTTATCCATACCATTGGTAGAGTTTGTAAGACCACGAGTGATCATGAAAGCAACGAATGGAAAAAGCAGCATGTCATATTAATGGATAATTATGAGAATAAAAAAAAAAGAAGATATTTGGTCGAGTGAATAAATGGGTAGAGCCCTACTATGGTTCCAAGTATATATCCTCGGAAACATACAATACTCTACTTCATTTAATATTTCAAAGATCAGGAGTAATTGAAAAAGAAAAAATTAGATCCAGTACAATATGTATCCCGAAGAATCCTGAATCTGATATTAATAATATAATAATTGTACTAGTAAGCTTTAAATACCATTTTGATTTGATATCCAAATGATTTGTTATTGAGAACCATAAACGCATATGAATTGAACATAATTTGACGTCAACTGAACCATATAATTTTAATAATAAATTTAAGTAGATTTGTACCAAACCGAACGTTTGAAGGTGAAATCGGGCCAAATCGAGGAAGATCTATAACTTAAAAAAATAAAATTCATGATTATTTATATAATGACATATGGTGTATCACCTCGTGTGCCGATAATACCGAAAAATCTCCCTTGGGATTTGGCAAAATTTTGTTTTGCTGCGTGAAGAATGGAACCGGAAGTCTGGAATGGGTTGAACCCGTTGAAAGTCGAACCAGTTTGCTTACGTCACACTGGATTCAGTACGCAGATGGATAATTGATTTTCTTTCTTCTTCCTCCAACTTCAAATATAAAATATATAAAAAAGAAATAAAAGAAAAAGAAAAGAAATAGTTTTCTTCTTCCTTTCGTCTCTCTCTGTCTCTGTCGACGTCTGCGAGGGTGTTGGTGAAAAGCTAGAAGATGAAGCTCGGCTTTGAAGAATCGAAAGCGGTGTTTGGACTGCTCAGAGCAGAGCAGCGCCCGATCGAAGAGATCGTCTCTGAGTTCAACTCCCTTTTCTCCCATGGCCGCCAATTCATTCCCTGCTTCTCTCTCTCCCTTCTTTTACAGGTCTGTCTCTCTGTCTCTCTGTCTCTCTGTCTCTCTCTGTCTCTCTATCTCTCTCTCTCTCTCTCTCCCCCTCCCTCGTGGCGCCTGCTTTAGGACAAGCATTGAGAGGTGCCCAATTTCATTTCTTTACAGAATTGAAAGAAAAACCCTAGATCCCTTGCCATCATGTTGCTAGGGTGTTATGTGCAATGGCGTATCAATTATGGGGTTTTTATAATTTGAATGTATGATTATGAATACCCAAAGTGAAGACATATATTGATATTAACTGAAAATTTTTTTGTGTTAAAAAAATGTTGGGTTTTGTGATGTGGGATTCTAACTAGCTGGTGCTATGCTTCGCAGGACAAGAAGATGCTGAACTCCACTCAACGTTTGATTGCGTTCACTATTCTTCAGCAGGCATATTCGTCCCAGAAACCTTCTGCAAATCCATTCTTTAGTTTACTTATAAACGTAAGCATTGCGCATTTGTCTTTCAAGAATCGGCAGTCTTGGTTGCTTTAGGGTTCACAAACAATGATCGGTATCTGATTGAAATCAGTTTCTTGGTATCTATTTGCTAGGCATGTTGCACCAGTATGCATAAAGTTGTAAGGAACCTCACTTCTCTCTGAAAAGGCTCTTTTGAATCATTTACCATGATATCAACCTCATCCTCGATATTGAACATTATCACACCTAAGATATGAAACATATAACTGAGAATATACCTACATGTATGCTATCTGCCTCATTGTTTAAGACTCAGTCAAGTACTAATTTAAATTATGAACAAAACTGATTGTCGTTTCCTTTGTTTTTCCCCTGTGTACAACGGTTTTATAATCTCTGAAATAGATCTCTTGCTGATCTTTCACCTTTTTGATTATTGAATCACTTGAATTGTTCAGTTTATTATATTCTTATCAATTAAATGACCCAAAACAAAAAGAAATACTATTAGGATATATGCAAAAGAAAGGACTCAACTCAACTAAGACACTGGCTATAACTGAATAAATTGGTTTGAAGGCCACACTTTCAAGATTCTTAGGTTTGGTTGGTCTAATAACCTACATGACCATTTAGATCAAGTCTGGGCTGATAACTCTACTATCAGTTTCAGATTTCTATATGAAGAAATTATCACAGTAAACAATGAGAATGTAAATATGGAAGTATGAAAAGTTTGATGAGCTTGTGGTTTCAAATTATTTATCATTAATTTTCATCTCAATACTTCTACTGTTTATGATTCTGTTACCAATTTGAAGCCGTTGGGGTTTTTTCCAACCCATGATAAGTTGTCCCAAGTCTTTTGGGAATTAATAGTCTTAGAGGATTAAATTGTTTTCTCAATTGGAGAAGGATTCATAACTAGATTCCAATTAGGATTAGTAATCCTTATTGAAGAAGACCTTTATTATGTCTATATAAAGGGGCTATTGTACTAGTTTTGAGGAGGGAGCAAAACAATAAATTGTATACCACTCAAGGGATTAGAGTGAGAGAATATTGTAAAGTGTGTGCGAGAGAAAAGAAAAGAAATAGTGTATTTCTTGTTCTTGTTCTTTCAGGTTTATCGTCAAGTCCTAGTTCTAGAGATTTGGCAAGATTATTGGTTGTACTCATTATTGATATAGTGAAAGATTGTTGTTGCTGTCCCGTGGACGGAGGCACATATTGCCGAACCACGTAAATTCTTGGTGTTATTTATCTTGGTTATTTGTTTTTCGATTTCCGGTGTTTGTTCTTCTTTTTCCCATTCTTAAAAGCGATATTCTCAACAAGTGGTATCAGAGCCTGATTTGGCTGATATCTGTTTAGAATGGAGGGTGCAACCCGCTTTAATTGGGTTACATGGAAATCAAGAGGAGGACATGCTTTACTGAAGTTGTTAAGAGCAAGCCAGCAAGTATGTCTGATGCTGATTGGACCAAGATGACGATAAGTGATGTTTTCTGGCAAAGAGGTCTTTAATTGCCTTTGCCAATGACGATGGGTATTGCGATCAGGGGGAGCCTAGTCAAGAGAAGTCTAATCAAGAGGGTCTTGGTTAATGAGTAGTTCGATCAGGGGGAGCTTGGTTATGGGTAATTCTATCAGGGGGAGTCTGGTCATGAAAAGTTCGATCAATGGGAGTTTGGTCAAGAGGAGCAATCCTATTTCGGTATACCTTCCTTATGGTCTGGAGGGGGAGATTGTTCGGTTTTTTCCAGCCCATGATAAGTTGTCCTAAGTCTATTGGGAATTAATAGTCTTAGAGGATTAAATTGTTTTCTCAAATGGAGAAGGATTCATAACTAGATTCCAATTAGGATTAGTAATCCTTATTGAAGAAGACCTTTATTATGTCAATATAAAGGGGCTATTGTACTAGTTTTGAGGAGGGAGCAAAACAATAAATTGTAAGCCACTCAAGGGATTAGAGTGAGAAAATATTGTAAAGTGTGTGTGAGAGAAAAGAAAAGAAATAGTGTAGTTCTTGTTCTTGTTCTTTCAGGTTTATCGTCAAGGTTTATTGTCAAGTCCTAGTTCTAGAGATTTGGTAAGATTATTGGTTGTACTCATTATTGATATAGTGAAAGATTGTTGTTGCTGTCCCGTGGACGTAGGCACATATTGCCGAACCACTTAAATTCTTGGTGTTATTTATCTTGGTTATTTGTTTTTCGATTCCCGAAGTTTGTTCTTGTTTTTCCCATTCTTAAGCGCGATATTCTCAACATAAGCAATAGTTAAACAAGCGACAGACCATTGTTTGAAGTGATATGGGGTTGAATCTATGCTTAACAGTTTATTTGGCACTTAAGTTGCTTTCTTGATGCTTTAGTACAATAACATTGTAAACTGCTTTCTTATTAAAAAAAAAAAAAAAAAAAAATCAATTTGTTGATGTGAGCTTTTATGCTTGGGGTGCAGGCTGCATGTGATGTTGAAGCCGAAAAGTATGAGAGGGCACTTGTTCTGCAGCTATTACAACTATTTGGATCTGATGGCTCTAGTGGTGGCAAAGAGGTTCTCCATTATTGTTTAGCCTTTTAATTCGTTAATCTAAATTATGTTGTTGATTTAGTTTCTACAAACTTTTACTTTTATGTTTGTACCTGTGACACAAAACTGCCAACCAATATGAAATTTTTTATTTTCTTCTTTTCCCCTAGGAATGTTGCTAAATTAGCATTACAAATTTACAATGAATCTGACTTAACCTGTTGAATGTGTGTGCTTATTAGGGGCATTTAGCAGCTAATTATGAGTTATGGTTAGCATTGATGTCTGTTAGTGTCGAGTAAATTGTTAACTTCAGAACCTTTCTAATACATTACTTTGAATTGTAACCCGCAAAATTTTCATGCTTCCTATCTTGGACAATAGTAACAGCTTGGTTACAAAAGAATAACCCTTTGGGTTTCATGCTTCCTCTCTTGGACAGTAGTAACAGCTTGGTTACAAAACAATAATCCCTGTGAGTTTCATGCTTCCTTTCTTGGACGGTAGTAACAGCTTTGGTTACAAAAGAAATAACCCTTTTGGAAGCCCAAGACTATGCCAATGCCCAGGTCAAAGCATAAGGCCTGTTTGGTCCGAAGATATTGCACGTGGCATATGATGTTCAATAGAAAGAAGATAAAATAAGAAAGGGTGAATCTATTGTTAGTGTATTAAGAGTCATTTAGAAAAACTTTTTAAGTTTTATAATTCCTCATTGTAATGAGTCTTTATTTTTTATTTTTTATTTTAAGGTCTTTTTATTTTATTTTAATTAAGCTTGTAAGTATTTTTTGAAGCCACCGAGTTCTTTTTGTAAAGCAAATCAAAATTTGGATGTCTGAATTTGAAGTTTTATCTTGCAGCTGTTGGCTCATCAAGTTTTGATAAAAAAACACATCTTGTGTTCGTTCCTATATTGGTTATTGTTGTAAGATTCTTGTTGTAGATTCTTCTCTCGAAATTACAAATTTTGTCGGATAGAGAACTGATTTTCCTATATCTCAGCAAGCATTCATACCAGCTTTCATTTTCTCAACAACTCCACAAGGAAATAAAAACCCCACCAGGAGACTGAATTCTTGTTTATTATCTGTTCAAGTTTGTCAACCTTGGTTGTTTTTATTTGCAGGATGCATTGTTTTATAATTAGTTGTCATTGATATTTGTAGTATACGTAAATGAAACGTTAGTATCAGAAACCATTTTAACTACACCAGTGTGAACTGTAACCAGCAGCTGTATTACTTTGTTTTGTTACTTCCTCATCTTATCTTGAATCCTTTTTGGCAAGATTATGTTTATCTGAAGGAGAATCGTCTTTTTCAGATACTTAAACAAACTGCTACAGAGTACATCAAAAGTTTTGATCCTTCAGTACATGTAAGTTACGTAGACCTATGTATATTTTACTATTAAATACACTCATAATTAGTAAACTTTCAAGCCTACGTAGGATCCACCTGCATTCAGGGATTTTGTTACACAGTGTGTTGAGAAACATTCTCAGTCTATGAAACGTTCTCAGTCTATGTCTATAATAAATATTTTTCAATTGTCCTCTCTCTCAGGCATTCCCGCAACAAGAACAGTTGCAGCAGCAGTATGCCGATAAAGTCCATCCAGACCGATTTATTTCTCCATTCAAGGATGGTTCTGTCAGAAATGTGGTCGCAGACCCTGATGTTCCTCGTGGTTGTGATGTTAACTCATTAGAGTAAGACCTTTAACAATGGATATCTATTTTTGTCTTCTTTGCTCTTTCTCCAAATGACATTAGGATTCATGTTCTAGGTTTGATCTACAAACTGGAACAAAACCTAAAATTGGATCTGGAGATAGAGACGAGACAGTGCTTGGCTTGCTATCCAATTTAGCGCTGGAAGGGTTAGGTCCACACTGGAAAAGGCCTATTCCACCAAGGCTCCCAGTTCAGGATGATGAAGTAAGACGTAAGGGTATATTTATTGATTATTTGTAAGGGAATACTTGTTCACTTGATTTCGCTTGTCAAACATGTTTCAGCTAGTGTGGCTCAACCCTGTTGACAATCATGAACTTTTATGGGATGATGGCATGTGTATTGACACTAGCAGAGGGGCAGCTGTCAGGGACTTGATTGCAAAAGCATTAAAAGGACCACTTGCGCCTGCACAACAAGAGGTGTCGACATGTATATACAGTATACCCTTCATAATATTTAATATATCTTAATCAATATAATCATGTTTAATATAAAAATGCCTTTATACTTCTATGTATCAGTCCAAATGTTGAATGATTGAATATTTTCATATCATTTAGTCAAGTCAAACATTTTGTGTTTCGCCTTTGGGTGATGTGGGTCCTAGGATTTAGTGTATGAACCATTGTCGGGCTGGGCCTAATAAAAAAAGAGAGCGGGGGAGGGGGGGATAATATTGATGAACCATCTTTACACCTTCTCAGCCCATTCTAGTGATTTGGAAGGCTAAGGTACCTTGTAAGGTTCATACTTTGCCTTGACGATTGTTCATGGCAAGAGTATAATAAAGATGTTGATTAACAAACAGGCGTAATGCTTATACCTGACCTTCTTGTGTTATGGCCAAAAAGAGAGTGAAGCATATTGATCATCCTTTCCTTTGTAGCCCAAATGTGGATTCAATGTGGAATAACCTTTTTAAGGGGAGATTGAATTGGGCACTCTGGCTTCTTAAGAAATAGTGAAATACTGTGCTGGTGGAAAAAGGACATAAGCTCTGTGGACTTATTGTATTTAGCTATTCTTATATTTATTTGGTTGGGAAGAAATGTTAGAGTTTCCAAAGGAGGAGGAGATGGGTTTTTCATTATGGGAGAGATTACCTTGTCTGCCTGCACGCTTGTCTAGATTTTGAAGAGAAAGGATAGCCCGTATTAAATGTTGTGACGAGGTAAAGTAAATTCGATAGTTATAGAAGTGGGAGGAAGCAGTGCGGAACAGGACCTGAAAAAAGATTTAAGTACAACAAGACTCTGAAGCAATACTGAGATTGAGCATCAGAAACCCCAAACAGTGGGCAGGGTTAGAACGTAGGTCACCCAATCCAGCCATGGAATTACTTATTATTGTTACTTTTTATAGGATTTTGGCCAGGCTAAAAGTCACAGTGACGCCTATCCTCAAAACAAAACGCTGAAACTTGAAAGGAGGCCCTTCTTGTTTGGACCCCAAGGTTTATATGTAAAGATCCGCTGAAGCTTAATTAGTGTAAGGACCTTGGAGTTTTGGAGTCAATTAGAAATGATACTTTGTAAGCATCTTTGACTTTAGTCTTATGCTTGAACCTGGGGATAAAGATGTGGCTAGGGTATACTCTAGTTAGTAGTTGCACGTCTGCTAAAGTGATGGCCCTAAGGTCTCATTCTCCCTCCCCCGAATATTATTCTTGCTAAAATAAATTATTTATGATAAAGGGTTTCTGACGGCCTCATTTTACTGAAAAGTTCATGTTATTTGATAAACTGTTACGTCAGTAATTTTGAAGGAAGAGATGACGTAATGCTTGCCCTTTCCTTGTTCAGCAAGTCTTTTCGGAGTTGGCAAATGACCTGAAACTTGTATATCACTGTGGGCTGACACCAAGAAAGCTACCGGTAATTGTTGTCACATAACTATCAGTCATCAACATAAATATGATTTAATCTAACACTTGTATTATTCCTCAATTATTGTTTTCAGGAATTGGTGGAAAATAATCCCCTAATTGCAGTTGAAGTCCTCACCAAGCTGATAAATTCCCCTGAAATAGCGGAGTATGTTTTTGGTCTCTATGATTTACTTTGTGTCAAAATATACAGAGAATCAGAAATTATTTTTTAAGCCTGTTCTTATTATTTTTATTTGGTTTGTAAACTTTTAAGCCTGTTCACTTCCTCATTTTCAAGGCTTTTATGCTTTGTAAAACTTTTATATGTGGCCACAGATACTTTACAGTGCTTGTCAATATGGACATGAGTCTGCACTCTATGGAAGTGGTGAACAGGCTTACTACAGCAGTCGATCTTCCTTCTGAGTTCATACACCTGTACATAACAAATTGTATATCATCCTGTGAGAACATCAAGGTACTTGCTTACACCTTGCCTGTGGACTCTGCTTATCGGTATTCTGAGATTCAAAGGCACAGTTCAAGTCTTGATTTAGACTATATGTGGTGAAATATTTCATGCAAGGGTTTTAACTTGAAAAATAATTAGGAGCCTGCTTGAACACAAGGAAATTCTGCGCTCTTTCTTTAAAAAATATACAAATATATAGCATCCTGCTTCCCCCTATTCTTTGTTGAAGATGTTCAAATGAGGGCTTATCTATTTAAGGTTCGTTTTAAGGCCTAGCATTTTTAGGAAAGTTAAGCAAATCAATGTGTTAGTGTTTGCTGATTGAACCTCAATAGTATAGGTTGGTTTGGTTTCCTAAGTTGAAGGAACGAACAGTTACGTGTGTCTCTCTTTCTTCAATTAGGCTGGCTTTTACTGTGGTGTAAACTATTACTTGTTAAAGTTGCCGTGGTTTTATTTGGTATTCACTTATACGCTTGAAACAATATTACTAGTAGGGTCACCATATGCTTGCTTCACCAACTATTTTGATTATAATTCTTTCTTCCTCTGTCACTCTGTGTGAGAGGGTATTAAGACGATGGTTTTTGGTCATTACCAAACTCTTATTTTGTAAACTTGTTAAGCAGTTTAAATTTTTTTACTACCAGGATAAATACATGCAGAACAGGCTTGTGAGACTAGTTTGCGTGTTTCTTCAGAGCCTTATCCGAAACAACATTATCAATGGTCAGCGCCACACTCTACTTGCAATTTAATGTTATCTTGGTCATTTGATTCGGATTGAACACGCATGCTTAATGTAGAAACAGTAAATGGGATGCAAAGTACACTAGTTGTAAGAACAATTGAAGCAACACGTGAACAATTTTTAATCTCAACGTTATGTTGCTTACTTTTATTAATGGTTGTCCTTGCAGTTAAGGATCTTTTCATCGAAGTCCAAGCTTTTTGCATAGAGTTCTCGCGGATTAGGGAAGCAGCGGCGCTCTTCAGGCTCCTAAAGTCCTTGGAATGAATATGTTGGTTTTTGCTTCGCAAGATTGCTACTCTTCTATGCTTAGCAATTATTTTCTGTATGTTTTGCTCTGCCTATTTTCCGCTCAGCATGTAGATAGAGGATGTCTTCATTTAGATTTTAGAGGTCAATTAATGAAATTTTCTCCTTTATGCTGGCAGTGTTGCTATTTTTTCGCTTAAGTACGATAAAAACAGAGTAATGTTATTTAGATACACAAACCTAACGCTCAAATATAAGCGGGACTTGAATTAAAAAAAGATTAAAATGAACGCGCGCTCTTTCTCCAAACCCTTATCTGTCACCGTTGTCTCCTTGAAATTGCTGATTCTGGTGGTTTTCAGGCTGTTCCTCACCCAAGTTCTCTACCCAACTCTCAGGATTATTGCCGATCGATCATTTTGAAAAGTCTGGATGATTTTGTGCAAATAAACCAGATCTGGTACAAATTCTAGGAGATGTTCTCTCATGGCCTAATACTTGCAAGGAAGTGGTTCTTACAAAATGTGTGTAAAAAAACTGGCGGCATGTCGTCTGATATATGTGTGTGTGTGTGTGTATACAAAGCCTTTTAACAGGAGTATGCACACGTCTTTTAACAAGAGGGTTCCTCATTTTTCTAAAAAATTTGGAACATTCTCTTGACCGTTGGATTGACTTTAATGAAATTGTATGGTTGAGATTAAATCACAGGCCACACAATCTTAACCACACAATTTCATTAAAATTAAATCCAACGGTCAAAAGGGTATCCCAATTTTTTTAGAAAAATGGGGATCCCTCTTGTTAAAAGATTAATATATATATATATATATATATATATATATGTATATATATCTATTCTATTAAGAGAAGAGAGCTTGTCAACTTTTTGCCCCCTTATCTTCCAATTTTGCTCACTTTTGAATATACAATGTTGACATGAGGGCAAAATAGTAATTTTGTATCTTTTGAACTTTTTTCCCCTTTTTTTCTCTTTTCCCCTTACTTTTGATACATAATATTTACATAAGGAGGGGAAAATAGTAATTTTATATCAAAATATTTACATAAGATAAAAAATATGCACTTATTAAGAGAAATTGTCCTATCAACATTTTTTCATACACGTAAGTGAAATCATGATGTTTTTTAGATAGTTTGAATGAACTGAAGCAGTTGCGCTTGAAGAGAACGTGCAAGGAGGTGAGCGGTTGTTTACACATACAAAATGTTTGCTCTTTGCTAGTGTGTGTGTGTGTGTGTGTGTGTAAACTATCGCTACATGATGAGCAATCATCGGCCCATAGCAGTGACTTGGTAATCAAAGGCTTATTACATGGTGGGAAAAAAAAAAAAATTTATAGCTTTTGAAGATGAGTATTTACCATCAACAATCCGTATAATTTTTTTTTTTGGAAATGTTAACCACACATCCTTTCTTTTTTTTTTTGTACATTGTATAAAATTGTCTATTATTTTGTTTGATTATTTAATTTAATTGTCAAAAATAAAGGAGCGTGGGTAGAGAGAAAGAGAGAGCAAAACAAGTGTAATTATCATTTGTGTATTGTGAAATTTCTCTTCCTAATATTCAATTTGATGATTTTTTTTCCTTTTCCCTTTTCATTTTCGCATAACTAATGGTGCAAACTAGATCTTTGTATCATTTTTTTTAAAAAGAAGTACGATATTCATTGAAGATTGAAATACGTATAAATCGAAAATAAGGTGCTTACATTGGGTCTCAATAAAAACCTTGCCGGGGGCTTTCAACTCGATCGAAGGGAAAAAAAGTGTCCCGCACCAAAATTAACTACTAGTACTATCTTCCAATAATAAATCGGAAATTACATCGGGAGACTCTTTGAACCAAGAAATTGGGTGATCAATAGTTAGACTAAACCTCGCAAGGCGATGAGCCACCTTATTCATCTCTCTTCGACCAAATGTAATTTTCCATTGCTTGAAATATTGTAGGAGGTGCCTTGTATCCACCAAACAGATGCCCGTAATGACCACTATACGCTCGACCTGCATTCTGAATTGTAGAAATCACCTACAACGCATCCCCTTCCACCTCGACCTGTTCCGTGACCCATCTGCTCAAGAACAGCGTTGCTACACGTGCAGCATCAGCCTCTGCTTGTAATGCTGATCGCGCGACTTCCCCCCTGCTTACTTGTGCCGCCACAAAACCTTCTTCCGAGTTTCTAACTACCATCCCAAATCCTCCAATCGACCCCTTTTCATCCCATGTTGCATCAAAATTACACTTTATCCACCCAGAAGCCGGAGAGTGCCATTTATATATTCTTGGTGTAGCATCATTCCATTTTTTAAATTCGACCAGCCACATTTGTGCTTTGATTTGGGTATCCAACGGAGAGACATCAACACTAATCCAAATAAAATCATTACGTACCTTCCAAATATTCCAAACTAGGAAATGTATCAGCTCAAAGCTTTCCTTAGATACATTCTACGCCATATACTCCAGCCACCCTCTGAACCCTTCCTTACTTCTATGAAACGAACAAAGTCCCAACGGACTTCCAAACCAAACAGCTGCCACTCTAGGACACAACAATAATGCATGTGCTACTGTCTCCGCTTCTTTATCACAGAAATCACAAGTATCCTCCGTAAGTACGCGTCTGTTCTTCAAATTCACTTTGGAAGGCAACGCATTCATATACCCATGCCATACACAAATTTTCACTTTCCCTGGAACTTTGGCTTGCCACAACGCTTTCCATAAGAAAATTGTGTCCACATTAACCACTGATCTCGTAGGCTCATCACCATCCATTCCCTGACACAATCTTGCCACAAAGTACGCACTCTTAGTTGTGAAGAACCCCTTGGGTTCTTTTGCCTAAATCATAGAAACAGCGGGGTAAAATAAACTTAAGGGTATGCTCAAAATCAAATCTGCTTCCTCCTCCAAGAACCAGCTACGAACTAAATTCGAATTCCAACGAACCCCATCATCCTCCACCATCAATGATCTCACCGTAAGATATGGGTGCACCCCCATCGGTCTGGGTTGAGAACTTTATAGAAATGCTCTTGTGGCAGCCATCTATCCCCCCAAATGTGTATTTGTAGACCATCCCCCCCCCCTCAATCTCACACCTCAAAAAATAATTATTTGAGATGCTGCCACACTGCGCCAATAGTAAGAAGAATTAGGTTTGACTGGAGCTTGCAAGAACTCTGATGTAGGGTAGTATTGGGCTTTGAAAATTCTTGCAACAAGAGAATTAGGCTACTGTAGTAGTCTCCACCCTTGTTTCGCAAGCAAAGCAAAATTGAACGCAAATAAATTGTTAAATCCTAAACCACCTTCACTTTTTGGTTTACACAATCGCTGCCATTTCACCCAATGTATTCTACGTTTACCTGCTTCCCTTCCTCACCAAAATTGCGCCACCATTTGGTTTAGCTCTTCACAGAAGGATTTAGGCAACAAGAATGTCTGCATTGTATACAATGGCATTGCCTGTGCAACCATTTTTATCAAGATTTCTTGACCCGCACTACTCAACAAAGATCCACGCCACCCATTCAACTTTTTCCACAACTGATCTTTAATATAAGCAAATGTATCTTTCTTGGACCTACCAATAAGCACCGGTAGACCAAGATACCGGTCATGGTACTCTACACGCTCTATCTCTGTGAGATTACGACTAAATGCAACATTACTTTTGGCACCGTTTTCCCAGAGGCCCGTTCATAAGTACGTAATAATTCCTTCAATTGCAAACACTCCTGAAAAGAACTCATGGCAAATATGAAGCTATCATCCGCAAATAGAAAATGATGAACACTTGGGGCCTCGTTACATACCTGAACCACTTGGATTTAGCCTTGTGCTTCCCACGAATCAAATAAAGCCGATAAACCCTCCGCACATAAAACAAATAAGAACGGTGACAATGTATCGCCTTGACAAATTCTCCGTTTTGGATATACTAGCCCCACATGCTCCCTATTCAGTTTGAACGAGTAAGACATCGTAGAAACACACATCATTATCCAGTGCATCCATTCCTCCGCAAATCCTAGCCTTTTCATAATTTGGTCAAAGAAGTTCCATTCAATACGATCATAAGCCTTACTGATCTCCAACTTCACTGCCATCACCTGATTCCACCCATTATTCTTCCTATGCATATAATGTGCAATCTCTGAAGCTACCAAACAATTATTAGAAATTAACCTTCTAGGTATAAACGCACTTTGCGAGGGTGAAATAATTTCCGGGAGAACGACTTTCAATTGGTTAGTAAGAACCTTGGAGCAAATCTTATAAATCACATTACAAAGACTTATCGGCTGAAGTTGAGTTATTGTTGTGGGATCAAGTTTCTTTGGAATCAAAGTGACATGGGTATAATTGATTTTCGTAAGCATATGACCAGATGAAAGAAGATGCCTTACCTCATCACACACATCTTGGCCGACAGTCTCCTAATGCTTTTGATAGAAACTCGGTGACATACCGTCACGTCCTGGAGCTTTTGTCGAATGCATTTGAAACACTGCATCTTTAATTTCATCATTCGAAACCTACCGTATAAGCTCTTATTTCATCTTTGCCGAAATTTTGGGAGTCATTACCAGCATAATTTTCGACACATCCGTTGCACCCTAAGAGTCAAATAACTTCGAAAAATAATCTACAATCACCACTTCCATACCCCTTTTGTCTTCATGCCACACCTTGACCTCATCAAATAACCCTAGTAAAGCATTCCTTCATTGTCTTCCATTAGCCTTCTAGTGAAAATTTTTTGTATTTTGATCCCTAATCTTTAACCAATTTTCCTTTGACTTCTGCCTCCAGAACGCTTCTTCCTGTGCCAATAAGGATTGCAACCGAGTATTTAATTCATGCTGTTGTGCTATAGTGGTTTCAGTAAAAGGCCTTCCAAATAATGCATTCAACTTATCCTCCGTTTCTGAGATCTCCCTCGGAATTGAACGCTTTGTTGTTTTTGCCCAATTAGCCAATTGTATTCGTGTTGCCTTAATCTTCTTCGTAACTCTAAACATTGGTGAGTCATGAAACTTTGTCGCCCACCCTTGTTGTATTGCAGCTCCACAACCCTTTTCCACCGACCACCCTTCCTCATACTTGAAGGTTTTCTTGAATCTAACTTGGTTCTTTGGTATCCATTCTAACAGTATAGGTATATGGTTTGAAGAGTTTGGTTTCAAATGAGAAACTTGAAACCCAAAAAACACATCCATCCAATTCTATGTTGCTACAACTCTATCTAATCTTACTTCGATTCCCCCACACCTGGTAGTGACCCAAGTAAATTTATTTCCGACGAACCCCAAATCTTGTAATTGGCAGCTTGTAAGGGCATTCCGAAAACCTTCCATTGACATTCACTTCGTCTATCACTTCCTACCTGCTCTTCTGCACACAAAATCTCATTAAAGTCCCCCATACAACACCACGGCAGCTCTGAATTGTCATGCAGCCTTTGAAGTAAACTCCAAGTTTTGTGTTTATCCGTCTCTATCAGAAAACCATAAAAGAAAGTAAGTCTCCATTGATAATCATCTCCTATTCCTCCAACTTCCAAATCAATATGATTAGACGAATACGACCTTAGCAAAAGGTTAGCATTTGCTTTCCAAATAGCATATAAACCCTTGAACTTTCCCGAACTTGGAACTGTAAACACAAAATCAAATTTCAAATGTGATTTTAACCTCTCCATATGCTTCTTCGAGCTTTTTGTTTTGCATAGAAAAATCAACATGGAATCTTTAAAGAGAATAACTCTTTTAAGTGCTCGAATTGCCCAGAGGTTCCCAAGCCCCTGACAATTTCAGCTAATACAACGCATTGGACTCGGTGGGGCTGATCTTCGTCAGCCTCCACCGCTGTAGAACTCATTCAAATAGAAGCAACATGCTTCTTTGTGACCGGGAGCAGCCCCTTCTCTTCCTTCTCAAGCTGTTATCTTTTTTCCAACTCCGAAGGGGGGGATAAAACGTTCGATTTTTGACTGCCTAGTTTTGTTCCTGCGAGATATCCTTCCTCCTGATCGATAGCCATGTTCAGAGCCCATGCCAAAGATAAACGGATCCAAATTGAAAGGGTTGGAATCCATGGCCTGGGGAGATTCACCCCTGGCCTTCGCCTGCTCTCCAGTATCCCCGCTCGCCAAAGATAGAACTAAAGTCCCTACACCACCTCCGTGCGCCTCCTGACCGACTCCCTCATCTCCTATAGTTGATTCAATCTCGGACCTAAACAACATTAAGGGCTGCCTCATACCTGTCATTATCCCCTCCCTCCTATCATCCATAAGCTCCGGGTATTGTCTACCCTGTTCCCTCGGCATAAATGGTATCACAGCCATATTATTGACCTTGGTGTCCTGATCGTAGACTATTTCATTCAAATCAGGTATTGAGACATTGCCCCAGTGTCATCATCTTCTTCCTCATCTATTGGTTCATCCACCTCATTCGATGGCGGAGCCTTCGTTTCCTAGCCACCCTTTGCATCTAAACCGAATCGTCTCCCTGCGGGACGTCTATAATCCTTATCAAGCACATCTATTTGGAACCATCTACCATACGGTTTTGCCTTATCGTCTAATTGTTGTCCTTCGTAGCACTCACATTAGTCTTCAACATGGTCCATCATTCCACATAGGAAGCAAGTGAGTGGTAATTTCTCATACCTAGCATCAATTTGCATATGTGTGCCTTCGAATTGTATGTTCACAAACCTTCTTAACGGCCTCCTCACATCTAGTCACACCCACACTCTAAGAATACTACCATACTGTTCCTTCTTTCGACTTTGGTCCGTTAGGATTTATTCTCCTAGCAAGTTCCCCAAAAACTTCCCCATAGGCTGTGGGATAGTCCCTTAAATTGCACCCAAAATTCCTGAAAGCAAAGTAGGATCCTAGATGGGTAAGCCAGATTATCAGCCTCGCCAAGCACCAATAGATATTGCTTATTATATAACCAAGGCCCTACTCGAAGAATGGTCTTACGTTCTTGCATGGAATTAAATCCAAATGCAAAACAATCCAAAAATTAGCCATGTCCTAAAAATTAGGTTTAATTACAATAAGTTTAATAGGTTTAATTACAAATTATACATGTCCTAAAAAAAATTAGGAATTATACATTCCATTGCAGTTTTTCATCATTTAGATTAAAAAATTAGCCCCTAAGTTAATTAATAGTTTTTATTAAAATTCTAAGCAAATTGTGGCTGGACATTCCACCCATTATATTATGCTCACTAAACCCAATCTCCAATGGCTGGCTAAATGGAAAATGGCCAATTTCTCTTCCTATTCTTTTATGATTCGGCTGTCTCGGCTCTTCCCTTCCAGATTCCAAGTTGGAATTGAACTCAGAGTTGTCATACATTGCAAAATTGGTCGACAAATTTTACAAGATGACAGAAAATGCAAAGAAAGCAGATAAAGTGGTGAGACATAAAACTCAATGCACGCCATTTATTAACACGTGAAGCTAAGGATAAGAAGTGTAGTATCACGTCGACAAAATCTCATCGAAAATCTAGAGAGTTGCTCTCGAGCCGACATGTTTCATTTGAAAACCATATTTGAGAAATGATTAAGATTCATAAGTGCCACGCACACTAAAAGCTTATTTTAAATATAGGCTCTAAAGATATATAATTTTGATGTACATGTATTTCCATTTTTTTGGGTAACAATATACATTCCAAATATACTGAAAAATAATACAATATTGAGAAGGCCAAAGTATAGCTCAGAATAACTGAATTAAAAAAAAATTTAGCTTTACAATATTCAAGGCTAAAATGACACGAGCTATATTTAGCTCCAATGGCGAAGATGACTCAAGTATTGTCAAAAGAAAGGAAGTCAGTTTACCTACAGCAGTTCCGAATATATATACCGAATATATATATATATTTTTTTTTTTGGGACAAGCAACAATAGATTGATATTTTATTAATCATCTCAAACAATACATAGGTGTCAATTGGGTATAAAACTCCAGTGATTAAGAAAATGGTCTGGAGGTGAATTTGCTCAAACAAGACAATATAGTAAACCCCTAAGCAGCTAGCACACGTATGTAAACTTCACAAACCATCCATGCAAAACTGTCATAAGACGATAGGTATAATAGACTTGTATCAGCAATTGTAAAAAGGTCACCATTGAATAACGAGGCCACATAAAGTCATCACGGAAGTGAGACCACATAAAGTCATCGTAGGTAAATGAGACCACATAACACATCGCTCAATGCGAAAACCATATCCAGCTATTGTTGCAGTGAGGCCACAACACTCGCTAGGCAAGACGACATAACTAACTAAGCAAAACTAAATTAAACTATGCTAAATCAAACTAAACCAGACTACTCCAAACAACTACAGACTACTCTGAGAGCGGAAAAACATGTCGATTAATTCGTGGAGGGATACGAAACTCATACAAAAGCCACCTGCAATGGCATAAAATGGGTCTGCACCCTCAACAATTCAAAACAAACGGCAATTCCGAATCAATTTCTACATTCAAAGGAGTATGTCTGTTAAACCAGAAATGCATAGAAGGAAAGATTAAAAAATTCAAATTCGGAAAGCAGAAACAGACAATACTCCTTTTTTGGTAATGAGAATGCATTTCATTTAACAACCCAATAAAGTATAAATACAAAAAACAAACTTTGTTTATAAAGGAGCTTAATCATATATTCAAGGACCGAAAAGGTGGAACTTTATTCATTCATATTATATCCTCACCAACTGAAGGTACACAATTCCCACAAATTCTTGGCAAACCAAAGCTAAGTGCACTGCTGCCTAACCAGCATCATACAATATTTAATACTTCTAATTATTTTAAACTTGTAATTAATTTAATGCCCTCCTAATCGAGCTGAATGTCTGACGGATATGCAGCCCCAGCCTCCCAATCAGCAGGGATGACTTTGGTTGCCTGCATCCAGTCCACCTCTGCAGTTGCCCTGCCACTCACTATTTGGAACCTCAAGGAAAGGGCACCAGTTGGTGGGTTTTGGAGGTCCCACACTGCTCCATATACTCTCCTCATTGGCCTCCATTGCTGGCGATCCTCCTGCCCCAACAAAGGAAAAACTTGTTCGTCATCACGTGTGTAATGTTACACAAATCACATTCACGAAATAATTTTACTTTCAGACAGTTTGTCAAAAGAACGTCGCTATTCATTTTTGAATCACGTTGTATATCATATATTCCTCATTCGTACTAATAATAGAGGTGCGAATGATCAATCACTTGAATTAGCGAGTCTCACCTGTTTTAGAGATGGGATTTACAATATGACGTGTAAATACAGTTGAAATAGTGTATGCATATGTGCTATATTAACACCATGGTAATTTGCATTTCAAATATTGAGTTGGCCTTGAATTTTTACCTGCCAAACCTCAACTGCTGTGATGTCATATATCCCAGGTACATACAGAATGACTAAGGCAAAGTAAAATGGATATTTACTGCCTTCATGGACTTTGAACACAACAAGTCCGTGACCAGAGAACCTGCAAGCGACCCTTCTGTATTCGATTTCAACGACACCGGAAGCAAATAAAACTTCAGATGAATCTGGACCGTTTGCCAACTTTGCATAAGATCTTGGGCTGAAGATGAAGTCAGTTCTGTCGCCTTCGCCGTGGTCTGTCACCACCGTAGTTACCCCATCACTGTTGCAATGCTGAGGGATCTTGCACCTCACCTGATAAAGCCACACTCAAAATTAACTACTATACTTAACAAAGCAAGTTAATTATACTTTAATGAAGGCAGCAGGCGTGATTAATTGTTTATTCTTAGTGCTAATCAGCATGATTATCACTTGTTCACATACTAAATTATTGAAATTTTTTGAGGAAGTCGATGTACCTGGTAGCATGCACCACAGCCAGTTCCATTCCTGTACAGCCTAGAAACTGCGGATACTTGACCGTCGTTGACCTTTCTTCCATATTCTCCATACCCACAAGCTCCAGCTGCAACAGTATACCGTCGTGAATATATACCATAATGCAAAAATACTATAGTGCATGCATGCAAATGTTCTGTTGTTAGGCTATCAAACAAATTAACCAACGTGGACATGTTGATGGACAGTGAATCTAAATCATTAATCATGTTGAAGTTATTTAGAATATGAGTGTGAGTACGCTCACATTCTAGCAACGTCAACATGCTTCTGTTAATACAAGTCTGGTAAGAGAACATTATCCTACTGTATACGTTCAATATATTTCTATTTCATGATAAGCTGACATGTTATTTTATCACACCATCAATCAAAATCATATGCTCAAACACGATTCTACTCGATTAATGCTCTAGCAACATAACTACGATACATACACACATATAGATATAATATATATAGTGAGTAGGCTATACATACTTGGGTTCCCATAGCAATCTGGGCTACCATAATAGGTTGCCCTAGAGGATACATATGTGTATTGGGAGGTACATAGAGCAGGCAAGAGTACCATGATACAAAGAAACCAAGTTATGTGCTTAAGGAAAAACTCCATGTTTCTGTATGAAACAGTTTTTCCTAAACAGTGCAAGTAAGTTAATTACGAAAAGTAAGACGATAATCAGATAGATTAAGCAAATGAGTTTAGGAGGGTTGTGAGAGCAAAGGTATCGTACTACCAATATTTATAGTCGAGGCAGGGGGAGGGTGCATGCTGAGTTGGTACATACCTTTTTCTTCCACTTTGGAACTACAGCGTGCAAAAGAAATAAGAGAGCTCTGGAGTTTTGGATTAGATTGATAACGTGTACTTGAACGTGGGAGTTGGGACCTTCGATATTGATCTTTTTTGGTGGCTGGGACTGACACCAGTCTCATTCTACAGGAGATATTTTCTCTTACAATTAAGATATAGTTTTAATTGTGACACATGCTTAATAAATGGTGTTGCATGTTCTAAAGTGAACCACTAGTCTAATACACATTTGCCATGTAGTAAATTAGTAACAAGAGTATCTCTTGTCCAACAGTCTCATTCTGAAAAGGAGACTTGCCTCCTTTTCAGAGTGAGACATCTGCCTAATGTAATAAGCCTCGTCTTATCATTATTAAGTTCATCAAACATGAAATACGACCAATTTAAATAGTGTTGTCCTATCTAGTCAGCCTTGGTCTTAGCATAAAGGATGTATAAAAACATACTACTATGTGTTAGTGGAGGGAATATTATAGATTCACAGATAGCCTAGCTGAACTTTTTCTCTCGTTCCTTGAATCTGCAAGTTTAATTAAGGTGTTCTTAAACTATCATTACATTTGGGACCATTCTCCCTAGTTGTGTAGGTTGGCCGAAAACCAATAATTTTGCAACTTGTGTGCGAATTATTAGAAATTTAATAGTGTAATTGATCACCTCTATATGGTTGTAATTAATCGCGTAATGAGAGAGATAATTTACAATCATTGGTGGTGAGAGAAAAAAAACCAAAGCTTCCCAAGAGGGGAAGGATTGTTTCTAAATTTTGTAGCAGCAAATAACAAGTATGTTGTGATGACATAGTCTGAACTATGCTTAATTTTCAATACACAATCACCTCTATTTTGCTCATCCCTCGTTCCAACCCTTCTCTGTTCTCTAAGTTTTTTGTTTCCTCTAGCTTTATTTCTAGCGCCGATTTGGAGAACTTCAATGTGATACTTGCTCATTTATTTTTGGGAGAAGAATTCTCTCTCCTCCAAATTCCTCTCTTCTCCATTCCCCTCCTATTTAAATGGTCACAATTTAAGCCATGTCAACATCTTGTGTTGACTTCTTTATAGAGAAAGAAAAAGAGGGAAGTGAGAGAGGAGGGGGTTGGAGGGGAGGGGGTTGGAGGGGAGGGGATTTGGAGGGAGAGAATCTCACTCCTTATTTTTGGCCAACTTTGTCGACAACTAATCACTATTACGCAACTCTTTTTTGCTATTATGTGGAGTTGAATAATTGGGGATTGACTTTTCTCTACATCCTTCCTTTGTTCTATATGTTCTTCACGGCTAGATGTGATGCGTTCAATGGATGCGTGGCTTCAATTTGTGGTGATGGTTATGATTTAAGGTTATGGATTCATTTAGGGTTTTGGGCTATGCAGGGTCATGTGGTTTATGCTAGATTTTGGTATTTTGGATATATTTTTTTAGTTGTTTAGCTTAGTCTTTTCGAGTTATTGCTTTTGCAGTTATGTTGGAAACTGTGGTATCACTCTCCAAAGTATGCCACATGCAAATCACGTGACCTAAATTGATGGAAAATTGAATAAAATGGTTTTGAATCTTAAAATAGAAAAATTAACAATTTTTAATCAATTTAACGATTTATATTTTCAAAAAAAAAAGTTGAAAAACTTAATTTTCATTCGGATAATAACTCGAGTGGTCAATTTCAATTGGAAACTAGTACATGATCCAAGAGAATGTAATTGGCGTTTTGGGTCAAATACCGGGAGCTATGGGATACAAATACGTGGATTAATTGAAACCCACCAAAGCCATCATCATGTTTGGTTGTAACGCACTGCCGGCTGGCAGGTCTATCAGATTCAGACCGACTCTCCAGTGACCAATTGCGTGTCAAAGTTTAAGATTAGAGAAGGAGCACTTATATTTCCCATAGCAAATTGCGTTTAAGATTTTGACCCGTTTGGCCTCAACCAACCAATACAAGACAACTTTATTTGAAAATGTTGATGAAATGAAGAGAATCCATCTCCGCGTTGGAGTCGAGTGGCGAGAAGAATAGGGTTTCGAGTTTGATTTTTTCTGATTTGAAATTATGATATGGTAATAAGTTAATAACAAAAGGTGAGGAGAGGTGAGGCAATAGCATATGGGATTAGGTGATCCTTCATCCTTGCCATCCATTTGCCTTGTTCCAGGCACACCAGACACCGTTTCTGTGTGCTGTGTTTGTGAGCACTTTAACATGTGTAACGTGTTTAAAGTATGTAAAATGAGATTAGTTGTTAATCATTTCCTTCATTAACTTAAACCATTAATCGTAATTAAACATGCTACCTTCATACGTGCGATGCAGATGATTAAAGAAAGAGTATTTTTCTTCGTCGAAAATTTGGTTTTCATTTAATCAGAAATCGACCAACATCTTTAACAACACCAACACCGAGTGTACATAAAAATTAAAAAGCAAAACACTTGCCTCATGTTTTTCAACTGGTTCTACACATGCTTCTTTGTGCTCGATACAATTTAAGCTATGTATTATGCATTCCTTTGCCGCACTGAAAAATGTGTTACCACTTGGAAGCTGGATGCTCAGATTTTCCCGTGCATGGTGCGACTCTTGCCCGAGCATTCTCGAAGACAATCACCGCATAAACTTCAATCTGAAAAAGTTGATCTGAAATCACAAGTTTAAATGCACAACACACAATGAGACATACAATCGTCAACACAAATTTAGAACATGTAAACTTACCTGCATGAACAGAGTTCATTGACATCAACTAGTCTTTGATTAAAGTATTTAGCATTTGCTGCATGGATATGGGCAATTTGTGCTGTTTTGACAACAGCTACTTTTAAATTAGCACCTTAGACAAAAGCATAGTCTCTGACCTAAGCTCGTTGATCCAGAATTTTTAACACAATTACGTAACAATGGGCAAGACAAAATTCACGAACCCACTAATAACAGATTTGTACCTCAATTACAATGACGCAAACTTTCTAAACACGTATTAACTAATTTGTTCACAATGATTACATCATGGCTCCAGAAGGGAGTTCCAACTCAAAGAAAGTGACTTTCACAATAAATTGGGCTAAAAATGGACATTACTTGCATAAATGGGGCAGCCACTGAGAGCAAATAATGGAAAAGAAACTGTAGATACAATCCACTAAAATATGTGTACGCGTACGGTTCATATCCCCAGATCTTCTACTTCCGAACATCTCTCTCTTACACTTGTAAATTGGGTTCAAGGGGAAAGGGCAAAAAGGTGATGCTGTCAGAGATGAAACCAAAATTACAAGCAATGAAAGATACTGTCCACAAAATCCTCACATCAGTCATCTTCACTCCCAAATTTACCAATAAACAAACAAAAAAAGGCAAATATAAACTGTAAAGCAAGCGTCAACCCACAACTTTAGCCAGCACCTCTGCCAAGTGTCTCCTTACTGAATCTTACGGAGAAATAGTGGTAAAGGTGGTATGGATATGAAAAGAACAAGCAATTACTTTGCAATTCCAGAACCAACTTGTCCTCAGACTAGAACAACGGAGTGATTGTGAATTGAAACCGGGAGAGAATGTGAGTAGTGAAATTTTGAGAAGGCATAGAAATGATACCAGAGAGAGAAATTTCCTAGTCAACAAAAAGTATCGATCCAAAAACCCAGTTACTCTTCCATACTACGATTTTCAGATTATTATGGCCATCGCACCATAACATATGAGGCGGTTCCATCTTAGCTAAAAAGAGAACTAAAATGCCGATATTGTGGTACGATGTTATATGGTATCATCCAAGAACATGGAGTTTTCCAACCTCACCAGGGGTTGGTGTGGCTGAGGGAAAGGGGAGTACTTTATCAAATAACCAGAACTTAAAATGTAAAAAGTCTACTAATCATAAGCATCGTTAATAAGTCCAGAAAGCTTAGGACAATTGCTGACTACAGTACAATGGAACTTTGAGATTCATACTCCAACATTAGCATATGGTAAATAAATTTCAATGTAATGAAAAAACAGAAATGAATCATCCCATAACATACAATCTGACAGTAGCTTGTTATTGCCCTGTACCTTAGTATTCCTTCTGATAAGAATTCCAAGTCTTCCTATGGAATAAGTTGTGCTTTTTTAAGGTCTGAGACAACTCCCCTGTCTTCAGTACTCCTTTCATTGTACAATACCTGGAAATTAATTTGAAAATGGATGACATAAGTTTGTTATGAGTTAGACTAAAACGTATAAACTCATTCTATTTGAAATACCTTGTCAATGATGCCATATTCAACTGCCTCACTTGGACTAAAATATTTTGGACGCCTAATGTCTGCTTCAATTTGCTCAGTTGACTTTCCAACATGCTTTGCGAAGAGCTTAACCTAAAACATAAATCAGACAAAAAAAACACTGAGTTGATAGGTGACCTAATGCACTTCTTTTGTTGGTATGTAAGTCAATTTCTACCCTCAAATGCAAAGTTCTATACAATTTATCACTTCTATACTCACAAAACATACCACAATTAGTCATTTGTGTACTCACTTCAAGAATAACAATTTACAATAAGCTAACTTTAAAAGGAAAAAGGGGACTCCTCTCCATGTAGAAGATTGTGTTAGTTCTTTCTCTTTTGATCTATAGATTTGTTCCATCCCTCCATGTCAATTTCTACTCTCAGGGGTGTGCAGTGTCTAACACTGGAATGGACATGACTTGCGTAGGACATGAAACAATACGTATTTTGGAATGTCCTTTGATTTTATTGACCATTTGCTTCTGGATACAGCTGGGACACGGTTAGGATACAGTTATCAGTTTGTAATTATTTGAAGACTACATGGGTCAAATCTTAGTTTTGAAAACTGTAGTGTCAAATTATAGTATTAAAAAGATATGTTAAAGACCCAACCATCTCCCTATTCTCTCTCTGTATGAAAACCAAACAGGGACCTAGCGTTTTTTACTTTGTTGTGGAACTAGAGGAGAAAGCCTGAGAAAGCTCCTAGAACTGAATGAGATGAGGAGACTAGAAGAGTGTACTGTAACTGACTCTATTCACCTTCTTTCTTAGATTTGCTGCACCAGCACCTTCTATCTATATTATTTTGTGTCATTTATTATATTTAAGCTATATTATTGTTAATTTATGATTATTGTTATTTAAGAGTTTATTACTGTCCTTGCCGTATCCATATCCAAATTTTTGGAAATTATCCCTGTCGTATCCCGGAACCCATAGATGAGGACTGTGAAGTAGAAGCTGGAGTTAATTAAGTCTTTCTTTTTTCCTCTTTTCGTTTAAATTCCCATAAATTATTACACCTGAGCTATTTTTTGAACTTGTACACAGAGTAAACTAATTCCTTGTTTAATATAAAATTCCAAAAATCAATACACATCCAAGATAGAAAACATATCACACCTGCTACAGAAAAGAGAAAATGGAAGAATAGAAATGAACTGAGCTAAAGGAAAATCTCTACCATTCTTTGAAAATTATGAGAAATCATAAACATCTAACCAGCAATTAAACTAGTCAATGAGAACAGAGTGAAGAATGGGAAGAAATATGTTTGTGACCAATAATCTTACCAACTCGTCTTTAACATTCCTCACTTCCCTTCTTGCGAGTTCAATATCTGTTGCTTGGCCTTGAAACCTTGCAATCGGCTACAGAGAGATAAAGAAAGAAGAGAAAAGTTCAGGGAAGAATTTAATACATGTATAAGTTCCACTGAACCAGATAAAAAGTACAAATCCCAGCCTTCACAGTAAAAATCAGGAAACACATTAGATAATACACTGTCATGAAACTCAACAAATTAGTGATAAAGATCAAACCTGCTTCATCATGATTGTTGATGAGGGTAAAGCAGAACGGTTTCCCTTTGCACCAGCAGCTAAAAGTAAGGCAGCTTCTCCCCAAGCATTACCGACACAAAGAGTAAATATAGGTGGCTTGACATACCTGCAGTGAATAGAAATTAAGTTTAACCATTAGGGCAAAAATTCAGATCATATTTAATTTTCAGTGAATACAAACTAGAACTGATCAACACGATAATATAATCAAAATGCATGAAATAACAGAAGAACGTAAGATGGATAACCTCATGACATCATATATTGCAAAAGCCTCTGTTTCATAACCCAACTTCTCACCGCCCTGAAGAATACAAGATAAGAGTCATATAAAATGAACATCTTTATATGGAATAAAAGAAGAAAAACAAACAAGGTGCCATTTTTGAAAATCTTCATTGTTCACAGTAAATGCACCCTTATTTCGGTCAAAGTAGAAAGCGAAAGAAAAAAGGATTACAACTCAAGTAGCAAGTTATCTATCCTAAGACAACTACTGTCAAATTGATTAAACAGCATGGCTACCGCAAAAGAACTTGAATTATAATTACAGTTACAACAGAGGAAGAAGTCACGCAAACGCAACCCAAAATTATAAAGGATAAGAGAAAATTGAAAGTGTAGTTACAAGTTACACATTATTTAACTACAGTCTTCTTTCTAAAGAAGATTATCGGATGATAATACTGCTGCTACCAATGAAGACATTACCATACAATCTCACAAACACCATAGTTGCACCACAAACCTTCTCCTTTGCAACCACCATAAGTTGGCATCGCCTATGATCGTATCAGAACTACCATTTTAATATATTGGAAATTTGAAAAAATCCCATTAATGCTACTACAACTAAATCTAGCACCAACACCAAACATCTAAGCAACTGCTGGCTTGAGATATATCAGTACTACTACCAAACTCCCACACAAGTTATTTTCCTGTATTTACCGATAAATACTCTCTAATTACTACCAACTGATGGACTGACCCATACCATATGAATAGGAGAAATACATGGACATCCCAACAAAAGTTACAACAGCATTGATGCTATTTTGTCATACGACCCTCCCCAGACCTACCTTTTTACAATCAACGAACATCGGACCAGTCATATTCCAATTATCTCCTAATATCAAGACTTAATATTTAAATTACGGGTGTGCATTATTAACTTTGGTTGTGCTTCAAAGATGCCAATGTGTGAAACAAGCAGGCAATAAAACTAAAGCTAGCGCAAAATAAATGAAGGGTCTCGACTGCTGACCTTGGTTGTTCCAGTGGAATTTATGTACAAGTAAATGGGCTTCGTGTCGTCTTCGTACTGAAGGTAGAGAAACTCGGCAAGTATCAACTCCGTCACCGAAGGAACAAGTGACATGCCCAAGTACACTATTCGATTTTTGTACAGATATGATGCCAGGTCCGGAGGCGGCTGCTCCCATGCACTTCCTCTTTGAAATGGAATAACCTAAACACACAAATTTCAATTCGATTCCAAAATTCAAACTTCACTCACCCAATAATCGAAACCAACATCACCCAAAATCTCAAATTCCATCCAGATAAATTTGGATTGAAACCTTTCTTCTAAATCGAAAGAATCAGTAAAATGAGAGTGAAGAGGTAATTGGGGGGAGTACCATGGTGACGACGCCACGTTTGGGTTTGGAGCCACGAAACGACGCCGGATTGAGGGAGGAAGGACGGAGCTTGTGGCCGGAGAAGTCGGAGGAGAGGCTGTTGCCCGCGAAGGGAGAGAGGAAGCTGGTGGAGAGGGAAGCCCTGGGAAGGGAGCGAGACGACGACGGATGGGGGTGGGTGGTGTTTAGGGCTCGGGGAATGGTTGGCGTTGCTAACATGCGCGTGTGGAGCGCGAAGCTGGAAGCTGTGGTGGCCACCTCCATTGATGGTTTTCGAGCGGTCGTTCGTTAACCGAATGGAAGAGGAAGATATCGAAACCAATATGGAGTGGGCTCGTTTGGTTTTTGGGTTCTAAAATGTTTAGCCATTGCATAGGAAATTCGAGCCCAATAATTTTTTGGCCTGCTTGGATTATTAGTCTCCGTCTTGATAAGGTGATTGAAAGATTGCCCCTGTGATGAAGTCTGTTACAGTTTAGGCCAATTGAAAATTTCGTCAACTCTCCGTTAATTATTAGCACATGAGCCACACATATTAGGTTAAAACAAAGCCTATTAATTGTTAGCACATGGGGCTACATGTGAGGCTAACTTTATCTTTTTAATCTCACATGCGAGCCTTTTTCTATTAGCAAATAATGGAGAGTTGATGAAATTTTAGTTTTGGGCCTAAATCTCAACAGACTTCACAACAAGGGCTTAAATCCCAATTTTTTATATTTACTCTAAAAAGTGATAAAATAAATTGATATTAAATTTACACTCGTCATCTACGAAATCAAAACCTAAGACCTTTTACTCACAAATAAAGAAGAAAAAAAATACCAAGTACGAGAAGCGGTAAAAGTCCAACTGTTTGGCTATAATAATCATGAAGATATCAATCACCAAATTATAAATAACATTTGGCTACGGAGGCTCTTTATATGACGGTGTAACATAATCACTATGATATTTGACTCAAGTTTCATAGCCTTGATTTTAGACGTAAGCTTCATCTTGATGGCTATAATGTTGAAAGATAACTCAAATTCGATTCCTTCCTCACCGATTTAAATAAAATTAGATTTAAATAGCTCTAGTTTTCTCTAATTTATTTTTTTTTGACAGGAAAAGAGAAAATTGCAGTCAAATTTGTATGTGTGGTGAAAATCTAAAATAGTTTCTTTTTACAAAACCCTTGAAACTTGAACAAATATCCAAAAAAGACTTGATTGCATCGTCCAGTGATTTCCACACAACTATTTTCTCGCCTTGTACACCCTGACTTATTTATGGCAGTTGAATTGAGTACATCAAACGAGAATTCATTGACAAAAATAAGCAAGGACTTACAGAAGGAGAAAAGATGTGTGCAGAAATCTTTTCGCTTGGAAAATGCTTGCAAGGTTTCAAACAGTATAAAGAGGTATTTCACTTTCCACCAAACTTGTAATTAGATATGCTGGAAGGTTAAGAAAAGGAAAATGTACAAATTTCAGACCAAAAACAGTGTATTTTATTTTGGCCAAAGGAAAAAGTTAGCTAATACCTCCAAATCCAACAGAGAAGGGCTAGAAATTACCCTTTGTATAATATTTTCCAGTGTTGGTCCTATCTCAATACAAGCTAACAACCCTTCAAGTCCCTCCATCTTAGGTACAGTAGACCGGCTCGGTAGTGAGTGTAAGCTGCTGCCACAACCAAAATATGGAAAAGCTGGTGGCTGTGGCCAGCAATATCAAACTTCCCCGGTCTCCACCGCTCTGGTACCCTTGTAGCATAAATCAATGCCCCTAGTCCATAAAGAACCCCCATTAACACCTCATACCCGGTAGTCTGGATGGCCTCTGGCTGATTCCTGAACACTATGAGCTTATGAACTAAAGGCACGACACCTGACACACCCATCACAAAGAAGAGAGAAGCACGATAGACACGAAACTTGGGTCCTTGAAAAAATGGGAGGAGGGAGAAAATAATGGTGGTGATACCTAGCACTGTTATGAAACTTAAGTAGAGGTTACGAAAGAAGGGGTTGCACATGAAGGAGTAGTAGACAGGAGGGTAAAATGAGGTTGTGATGAGTGCAGCGATGCCTGCATAATCACATCTGAGCACTATATAGGAAAGGCGCGCCGAATGGCAAGCAAGGAGATGGCATGTACTGCTGGCTAGCAAGCAGAACATGGCTCCACCTAGGAATGCAAAGAAGGGCCACCTTGTTATGGATCGATTCATAAGGGGGGCCACCATGTTCATCACGTCATCTGTTACTCCATGCTGCAATTATTGAACAAATAGCAAACATAAGGCTGGGAAACATGAAAACAAAAGGATTTCCAACTAAAAATTATTTTATCGTAGGGTATGTAGACCGAATTTTATTGAAAAGATTTCAAAGAAAAAATATGTATACCAGATAACTCGGTAAAAATTTCATGCATATAAAGGGAAGGAAAAGCGTGCAATAGCATTTGAAAACCTCGAAAAGACATCTTTGCATCAGAGTTGCATTTTTTAATCAAAGAGCAGGATAATACCAGAACAGAATTCTCTGTTTGATTGGTGTGGGAGAACCGGTCAGGCAAGCAATTGGCGAGAAGTTCCCTTATATTCCCTGAAACTGAGGAGAGAAAATCCATAGATGGAAAAGCTAGTGAAGGGAGGCAATTCAACAATTCTGGATGAATTTTGTGCAAATCGGCTCTTCTAATCATGTCAGACAAACGTTGCAGGGAAGACAGATCCATGAGGTCTGGAGCTTTTGTTGCTGTGTATATTGTTAGGAAAAGGAAAAGGAAGAACCCGATCAAATGCCTACAAAAAATGTGAAAAATGATTAAAAGCAACGGTCTTAAATTTCTCAGCAAACAATGTTATTTAAAATGAGACACGCAGCTTCAGAAAACAAAATAACCATTGGATTGTATACTGGTAATAAGTTTTAGGCACTAGAGTACTTACGTCCAGACATTAAGAGTCTCATTATGAATGGAGAAGATGCTTAGAAACACCTGCTTCAATGGCCATTCTGATCGGTAATAACCCAGAATGAACTCGTTGTCCCTTAAAAAACCAGGCAATGAATGGTATTCAATAAGCTGATACCTAACTTTCTTCCATAGTCTCTTTCCCTTCGCTTCCTTTAAACATGCTTCATTTACATCTTCACAGTCAAATTGATTATCTAATGATCTCGTTTCTGCAATGAAAGAAACATTGAGCAGCATTTTCATGCTAAACACATACAAGATTACAACTGAAGGTCTGACAAAAACAAAGTCCAACTGAAGGGAACATGCATAGTATGCACAAAATCTATAACCGTTTCACTCTTAGTTTTTAGTTTTTAGTTTTCACCTTTTTGGTAGGAATAGAGGAGAAATACAAAGGAGAAAAAACGGATGAACGAAAGTGGAGGAAGGGTGGTGGAAGGAAATGAAACAGATGTATAAGCAAAGTCTTCTAGTTTTTGTTTCCTACATTCTCTTTCATTTCTCGACCCCTCTCCATATACATTCCTTCTTGTCTCTATCAAACAGGTCCTAAGTAAATACAAGTGGGGTTCCCTTGATCACTGATATGCAGGCCATCCACATTCTTGCTTTCCTCCGGGGTACATATGGCCGGCCCTTCGGGTGTCCCGGCAACACAAACATTGTTTCAAAGGTCCACGGCATAATTTTTTCCAATGCAATAAAGTTACATTGTGTCTATTTTTCATTGATAAAGGGGTATTTCCAAGGGTTTGCCTTTGTGTTTGCTCTAATATTGACATGATTATCCAAACCATATTGTTGGCTTTACAAGCAAGCATGATCCTTTTAATTTTACATGAGATTATCCAAACCAAGATTTTTCTTGTGAAACTTAATGCCTTTTTCTCTTTTCTCCTCACCCATAACTACTAATTTTAAGATTAGCATTTCTAATCACAAGGATTATTCTAATCTTAAAGACATTACAAATTCTTTTGACATTTTCTCAGCACATTGATAGGATTCCCATGAAAATATACAAACAGAAAAACCAGGCCACAATTCAATCATTCATATGACATGACTAAAATCCACAGCCGATAATCAAAGCATTAATATTTGAGACGAAAATTTATTACCTGATAATGGAGAATCACCACCCATGATCAAGATTCACAACTCAAAAGAGTTTTCTTAATTTTGTTTGGTTTTGGCGTCGATGGAAACAGTGGATATTTTCTCGGGAAATGTTCTACTTTCCTGGGAAAGTTGTCCACGGAAAGAAAATTCCCCAAGAAAGTATAAAATTCTGACGTTGAAATAGTTTGGTGAGATAAGGCCCCTCACGGGTTTGTCTCGCCAAGTGGCCACCTGCTAAAACACAAGGGACTATTGGTATCTTCTAATTTAATTTGAGATGTAAAAATTCTACATCCTATTTTACAATTTTAAGAAAGTAATGATATTTACACCCATTTTTGTTTCAATTATATTTAGAACACGAATATGATTGTGTAAATCTAGTGTATTTAGGGATATTTTGGAATATTCTCCTTAGTAGATTTTATCCTATTAGGGTAAGGATTTAACATATCATACCACTACAAATAAAGGCACAATGGACTAATACAACACACACCTCATAATTAAATCTCTCTCTTCCCTCTCTTGCCGCCGGCCTCTCTCTCTCTCTAGTCCTAAATACAGTTCAGTCAAATAGGCTTAACACGTTATCAGCATGCTCTTGCTAGAAGCTGAGAAACTAAAGGATTGTAGGAGGATGCTTTCATCTACAAAATTCAAAGGTTTTTATTTGTTTTCTGCTAATCAGATGCGCTTAAAATAAATAAGATATTTGAAACGTTCACGAAGCATGAAAGCATTCTCCATGATGTATGAACCCCTTATATTTATATTTTCTTTCCGATAGATATATTGTATATGATTCATATATTTGTTAATACACACACACACACACACACGTTTCATGCATTATGCAATTATTATTTTTCTATGTGAAATTTGTGAGTCAAAGCATATAAATAAATTAGAAGCAATTTGGGGTTTTCACAAACCCTAGAAAAGTCAAAAAAAAAAAAAAAAAAAAAACAAAAAAAAATATGGGAATTATGCTGCATGGCTGTGGCTCGCCGCCATTGACACCATCGCTGACCACCACAGTTGGCTTGTAGCCCAGCAATGTGTAGCACGCCACCAGGACGACGTCGTCTCGACGTCGGGACCATGGCAGCAACCCTTTGGGCTTTGTTGCGCCTACACGGACGCGCCAAGCCTTTGGCTTGGTAGGGTTACATGAGCCTACAGCTCAGCCGAACTCTTAAGAAGGTCTGAAGCTCTTCTTGGACCCGTCTACGTGTCCCCAGCCCAACCTATCAGTAGCCTTATGCTACTGGGCTTGCCCCGTCCCTTGTTTTTGGCCCAAACCAGCAGCTTTTGCTGTTGGGCTCACCCAGACCACACGCCCCAGAGGCTTGCAACCCTCCCACGACCCGACCCCACATCACAGCCAGCCCACTTTTGGTTGGGCTGTGTTATTTTTTTTGACTTAATGCCAATTTTTGGCATCCTCACATTCTAAATCAACAACAACAAAGCCTTTTCCCACTAAGTAGGGTCAGTTATATGAATCCTAGAATCTCATTGCGCTTAGTTATGTGTCACGTCTTCCGTTAGATACAAGTACTCTAAGTCTTTTCTTAGAGTCTCTTCCAAAGTCATTGTAAGTCTTCCTTTACCCTTTAGGCCCTAAACCTCTATCCTTATTCGCATCTTCTAACCAGAGCGTCAGTAGGCCTTCGTTTCACATGTCTAAACCACCATAACTGATTTTCTCTCATCTTTCCTACAATTTCAGCTACTCCTACTTTACCTCGGATATTCTCATTCCTAATCTTATCATTTCTCGTGTGCCCACACATCCAACGAAGCGTTCTCATCTCCTCTACACCCATTTTATGTATGTGTTGATGCTTCACTACCCAACATTTCGTGCCATAAAGCATGGTCGGCCTATAAAATTTTTCCTTGAGCTTCAGTGGCATACGACGGTCACACAACACGCCGGATGCACTTTTCCACTTCATCCATCCAGCTTGTATTCTATGGTTGAGGTTTATATCCAGCTCTTTGTTCTTTTGCAAGATAGATCCTAGGTAGGGAAAGTGGTTGCTCTTTGGTATCTTTACCCCCAACTCATTTGAGCCTCCGTTTGCACTGAACTTGCACTCCATATACTATGTCCTTGACTGACTTAGGTGAAGACCTTTAGATTCCAACACTTCTCTCCAAGGGTTAAGCTTCGCATTTACTCCTTCATGAGTTTCATCTATCAACACTATATCGTCTACGAAAATCATACACCAAGGAATATCATCTTGAATATAACCCCACATTCTAAATCATGCCCAAATATTTTTTTGGGATACCTTGATTTACGCTAATTAATTCTAATTTAATTATCACTTGGTTTACTGCCAACCAAAGCTAATATGACCCGTTTGTCATTATTTTGCTTCCACGATCGACCTCATTTGGTCTCGATCTATTGAATTAATTAAAACTGACATGTAGTCCATTAATCTGATAATTAATCCAAAATTATTGACCTGGAGATCACTTTTGAACATTAACGATTCAATAATTTATTTTTCTACTTTGAACTGTTGACATCCTTTCATAGTCTCCAATCTCTCACACTTGAGTTCCCGAAGCAACTCAAATCCACTAAACTTAAATCAACATATTGCATTATGTGTTCTTGCAGGAACCTCTCATTTATGAACTAATTGTTCGTAAAACTAAATTGAACCTGTAGTTTCATATTTAGTGCCTTTGAAACCTGAAGTTTTCATTCAAAATTTACCAATGAAACTTGTAGCTTTCATGTTTAAATTAAACCAATACATGTATATAGAACCCGAATGTTCTATGATGTATGTTTATGGCTTTCCATATGACTAACCACATTTTATTGTACCCTCCGTTTTAGGGACAAGTCAAACTTGAACAAGCTCGATTTTACCGCTTTGGAAGTATCAAGAAGAAATTACCCAAAGTGGGTTTAAGACATGAAACTCTATCTTACTGCAAAAGGTATTAGAGCCACCATTGAGGAACCTACCGATGCCAATCCTGTCCATGAAGCTTAGAAAGCTACTGTAATGATCTTCATTCGAAGACATATCCATGATGCACTACAGACTGAGTACCTTTCCTGAGGAGGACCAACGCACCCTCTGGCTTGCTCTGGTCAATCGTTTCGATCACCAGAAAGACATTTTCTTGCATGAAGCAAAACACGACTGACAACATCTATACTTCCAAGACTATAAGTCTGTGAATGAATACAACTGTGAAAAAAATATACACCCAATTGTCCTATATATAAGGGTCAATTGCTTCCTAATGCTATAAGGGAAATACATACCCAAATAGCAAAAGGAAAATCAAAACAAGGAAGCACATTCCAACCAAAAGAAGGAAGCAAATTCCAAGCAAAAAGTGGCAAGTTTCAGCCAATCTGCACAAGCAAGACATTGTTTGTGATAATTCAACTTTCCTAAGGAGTTTTGATACAAGACCAATTGGAGAAGGAAGCTAAGTGGCCGAGGATCGTTGTGTCCAAATTTCATAATTTTCCCTAAGCCAAACGTTCTAGTTTTCAAAGTTATTCCCGCAGAAGTTGTTTTCCTATCAGAATTGCGCAGCTGTAGGAAAATACAAAGTTGAAGGCTTTCCCGATTTTTCCTAGTAGCATGCGATATATGCCTGAAAAGACAAGGGATAAGGCCACGTTTCCCATATTTTTACAGAATTTTCCAGAGGAGAAATCAATCTCAAACCTGGCGTGCAAATCAGATGACATGTTTCCCAAAACAAAACAAAGAAAAGGAAAAATACCTCTTTGATGTGGGGAAATCAAAAGGGGAAAGAAAAACTCCTTCCTCGTCATGGGAAATAAAAAAAAGGGGAAAGAAAGTTGTCCTCGTTGCCATGGAAATCAAAACAAGGAACAAAACATCTCCTTCCTTGTCGTGGGAAAAGAAAAGAGGAAACAAAAAGAATTCCTCCTTGCCTTGGGGAAGAAAGAAGGAGAGAAAAATGCACATCCTACTTACCCAAGGACAAGCATTAAGTCTTTCCAAAACCTTGAAGGAAATCACCAAAGCTTTCCAACACTTTGAAGGGAGTCACCCTCGTTACCAAACTTAAAGAGGATTCTTATCAAAGGAAGAAAAACTTTTTTGTTTTCCTACAACCACAAGGAAAAATTCAAAATGCGCCGAATATATTTTGTCAAAGATTATGGGAAATCAAATACACACAATTAGTATGTGCCGATTTATCCATTTTCAAAATTTCTTTCAAGATCAAGCCTCTACGGCCCTTGAAGAAACAAATTTCATTTCTTTCAAGATCACGCCTCAACAGCCCTTGAAGAAAATTTTCATTTCATTCAAGATCAAGCCTCAACAGGCCTTGAAGAAATGTTTCGTTCAAGAAATACACCTCAATGGCCCTTGACAAAATTCATCACCTTTATTCAAGACCAAGCCTCAATGGCCCTTGAAGAATTGTTTTGTTCGAGAAATACGCCTCAAGCCCCTTGATGAAATTCATCATTCCAATTCAAGAAATACACCTCTACGGCCCTTGAAGAAGCAATCTAATTCAAGATCAAGTCTCAACAACCCTTGAATTAGAACATTCACATGGCAAGACTTCAAAACACATTTCCTACATGTGACAAGCACATGCCTACAACGCGCCTTGAAGTGGGGGCATTTTTAGAAATGTAAATTTCATTGCATACAAAAAGTGCATCACAAAGGTCCACGTGGCATATGACTCATCACAAATGGACAAGTCATCAATGACATGTGGCACAAGTCAAGCAAAGGAAGTATAAAACTTCCCCAAAATTCGGCAATAAGGGAGAATTCCCCTTAAATTCGGCTAGGGAATCCAAATTGATCCTAAAACTGGAAAGAAAGCCAAAGCATCTTCATAAAACAAGTAAGAATTGAAGATTGCTCACAAAATAGGCTACAAGATCCTTAAATTCGGCCAAAGGAGTAAAGTGGCTCAAATTAAGACACAAAACATGCCTAAAATCATCCCAAAGGCAAGCTTTGAGAAGCCTATAAATACAAGGTCCTCCCACAAGCGTTGGAGTGGAAAAAACTCTACACAGAAGAACCTCTGCCAAACCTTTGAAGACTAATACGCTGCCAAAGTTCTCTTCGAAGAACATTCAACCAAAGCCGAAGCTTTCTCTTCACCAAAGCCGAAGCACTCCCTTGAAGAATCAACAAGCACTCGTGCCAATTCCTTCAAGACTTTGTTGCAAGCTTATAAATTTGTAGTAACGTTTGTTTCAAGATCAAGTCGCCAAGACCCTTGAAGCAACGAAATCCCGCATCAAACACTACCTTTGCTGCACCCTTAAGGTGAAGATCATCCACGAGTTGTTTTCAAGCTCAAAACTTGAAGCAATTGTTCAACCGTTTGTCCGAGATCAAGTCATTGCGACCCTTGGATCAACAATCATGCATCTACATCAAATTAGAAGACTGAATTAGAGGAAAGTTGTAAACATTGATTGTAACCTACAAATTCAAATCAATACAAATCTACTACTTGTACACGTGTTCTCGTTTCATTTATTATAGAATTTTCATGTTTACAACCTTATTTGTCAACCAAAAGAGAGTGAAAATACTATTTAGTTTTCTTCCACAACAAAAAAGTTAAGATAGTAACGTAATTTGACACCATAAAATTTTGCTGTTTTTTGTTTAAAACTCACATACAAGTGATTTAACATATCTAATTTAAAAAAAATAAAGAATAAATCTCTCTCCCTATCTCCCAACTCTTACGTTTTCTCTCACCCTCACCCTCTTCCTCTTTCCTTCAATTTTATTTAAAAAAAAAAAAAAAAAAAAAAATTAAACACACACTTTGTGGAATGTGTGTGGGCATATACTAGTTTTTATAAATTAAACACTTTTCAACTTGTATTTTCATAACAAAAATACTGCAGAAAATACAAATTTTGCCCATTTGGAATTTGGGCAATTCTAAGGCTGAGGAGTGAGTGAGGAAGGAGGATAGCCCAAGAAAAAGAAGAGCTACCATGTTGTGATTAGCAGCAGCAACCAACACCCCCTCCCTCCCCTTTTGCTGCAAATCAATCCAAACAATGTCCATTTCCATGGCCTTGCTTTCTCCCACAACCCATCTCCCAACACTCTCACCTTCCTCATCACACTTCAAACCCCTCCTGACCCACAAGCCTTTTCTCTCTCTCAGACCCAAGAACCACCCTCTCTTCACCATCAGAGCCTCGGCTGAGAATGGAGCTGGAGCTCTCGGCTCAGTTGCCACAGCCGTGGAGCCCAAAGCAGAGCCCGAGGTCCCCGTGCCCGCCGCTGAGGCTGTTCCGGTGAAGAGTGAGAGCTCTGCCGGGGCTAATGGATCACCTGGAACAGCTGAGGAGGTAAGCGTGGTGAATTTATTTGAAGATGGGAGATGGGTCAATGGGACTTGGGATTTGAAGCAGTTTGAGAAAAATGGAAAAACCGATTGGGATGCTGTTATTGATGCTGGTAAGTTCTGGGTTTCTTTCCTTCTGATCTGTAATTGTCTATTTCTTCACTTGTTCTTGTTTAGCTCTGATTGCAACTGTTTGAGTTGGCATGGGATTTTGATTTTTCATATTGATTGTTTTTTCCGTGTTAAACTTTGAGATCAGAATTTTCATTTGTTTGCCCTGCTCCATAAGGAACATTGAATAGTAGTTGAAGTATTGAGTTGAGGGTGTTTTTGTAGAATGTGGGGGATATTTGCTGAATTTGCAAGTCCCAAGTGGTTAATCTGACTTCTGAACTTGCATGTTGATTTTAGAGCTAATAAACTCATGGGTTTTCTTCCCCAAATGTTTTGAAACTTAAATGAAGAAATTTCTATGAAGTTGCCAAGTCTTTTGTTGATTCTTTTTTGCAGAAGAGCATCAATTTCCAAATAGAATAGGATTGAAGGAACATCTGTTAGATGTTTTTACACCCTTGTATTTACCTGAACAATTTTGTGAAGTTCCAAAGGCTTCATTTTACAAAGAATCTGTGATTCATTTGATTTAAAGCATATCTTTGACAAATAACTTGTTATCTGAACTTGTTATCTTTCCTTATAATTCAAAAAATACTTGTTTTCTAATGCATCACCTTGCATTGCCATTTTCAGAGGCCAGGAGGAGAAAATGGCTCCAGGACAACCCGGAATCATCCAGTAATGGGAACCCTGTGTCTTTTGACACGTCCATTGTACCTTGGTGGGCATGGATAAAGAGATACCATTTACCTGAAGCTGAAATACTTAACGGTTTGTTCGGATCCACTTATTTTAACATAAGCGTAATGAGGGAAGAGGAAATACTCAAAACTAATTTATTTTCTGCTATTTTATGAGTTTCCTGCAGGTCGTGCTGCTATGATAGGTTTTTTCATGGCGTATTTTGTTGATAGCTTGACTGGAGTAGGCCTAGTCGACCAAATGGGCAATTTCTTCTGCAAAACGTTATTGTTCATAGCTGTAGGGGGAGTGCTTCTGATCCGCAAGAACGAGGATGTTGAAAACCTAAAGAAACTACTCGAAGAGACGACGTTTTATGATAAGCAATGGCAAGCAACCTGGCAAGAAGAGACACCGGCTAGCAGTAGCAAGAAGAAATAGTTGAATTGTTGATGTTGAGTTTGGACTTTTGAATTTAGGTTGTTTCTTCTTTATTCCTTTGGGTTACTATGTAATTTCTGTGTGATGGTGGAGAATGAAGTTCTATTTTCAGCCATTGTGCGTTTACATTGATAAGTTAACTTTGAAATTTTGGGTAAATCTGATTTCCTTGTTAAATAGAGTGGCGTTCCCCAAGAGGAAAATGAGATTGTATTGTTGGGAATGAGCCCTTATCACAGAAGAAAGAATGCTTTTCAATAATATTATTTCATCTCAAAACAAAGGTATATATACAGCGCTATACAACCATATACAATCCTATCAGAATAAAGGAAAGAATAATTACATCCTAAACTAGGAAACCAAATATGGTAGGAATCCCACAATTATAGGAATTTTAATATAAGTCAACACTCCCCCTCAAGTTGGTGCATAGATGTTGCACATGCACAACTTGTCTAGAAATCTGGAGAACTTGTCACTAGAAAACACCTTAGTGAGAATATTTGTTACTTGGTCATTCGTTCCTATGGGAGGAACCTCAATGACTTTGCTATCTAGCTTCTCTTTAATAAAGAACTTGTCAACCTCTACATGCTTGGTTCTATCATGTTGCACTGGATTATGAGCAATATCACGAGCAACTTTATTGTCACAAAATAACTTCATCGGCTAACCATGTTTGATCCCCACATCTTGTAACAGAAACTTAAGCCACAAGAGTTCACAAATACCGAGTGCCATACCTCTAAATTCGGCTTCTGCGCTTGATCTTGATACAACAAATGGCTTCTTGCTTCTCCACATTACTAGATTTCCCCCAACAAAGGTAAAGTACCCGGATGTCGAGCGCCTATCATCCGTTGATCCTGCCCAGTCAGCATCCGTATATCACTCAATTCTAAAATGTCCATTTTTTGGGAATAAAATTCCTTTGCTAGGGCTTCCTTTCAAATAACTCAATATTCTCATAACTGCACTCATATGTTGTTCTCCTAGATTATGCATGTATTGACTAATTACGCTTAGGGCATGAGCAAGATCCGGCCTAGTGTGAGCCAAATACATCAATCTTCCTACTAATCTTTGATACCTCCCTTTATCAATTGGTACTTGGTTTTGATCGATACCCAACTTTCCCTCGGCCAACGGAGTAGACACCGGCTTGCATGCCATCATACCGGTTTCTTTTAACAGGTCAAGAACATACTTCCTTTGTGATAGACATATCCCGAACTTGCATCGCGACACTTTAATCCCAAGGAAATATTTCAAAGAACCAAGATCTTTCATTTCAAATTCTGTGGACAAATATTTTTTTCAAGGCTGCTTGCTCAATAGGATCATTACCAGTAACCACCATATCATCCACATATACGATGAAAGTTGTAACCTTTCCATTCCGGCGTTTCAGGAATAATGTGTGATCCCAATTACTCTACATATACCCGAATGCGCTCATGGACTTGGTAAATCTACCAAACCATGCTCTCAGAGACTGCTTCAACCCATACAATGATTTTTTTAGTCTACATACCTTTTGTTTCCGTATGTTCGGATCACTCCAGCTTGGTGGAAGGTCCATTTAAATCTCCTCAGTTAGATCTCCATGGAGGAATGCATTTTTTACATTGAACTGTTGTAAAGGCTAATCTAGATTCGCTGCTAAGGACAGTAGAACACGAACTGTATTGATCTTTGCCACTGGTGCGAACGTATCAGTGTAGTCGATGCCATATTTCTGTGTATACCCCTTTGCTTCCAATCTTGCTTTAAAGCGATCTACCATTCCATCTGCTTTGTATTTCATTGTATAAATCCATTTGCATCCCACATATTTCTTTCCGGCTGGCAAGTCAGTTATTTCCTAGGTAGCAATCTTCTTCAACGATCTCAATTCCTCGTTCATTGCATCTTTCTAGCGGGAATCTACTAAGGCCTCTTGCACACAGTAGATAATTGATATACAAATGACTTATTTGATTCTGACAGGTGACAGGTAGACACATAATTGTTTAATGGGTATCTCACTCTTGAATCGGAATTTGGCTCACTCACAGAATACTTGTGTTTACACTTAGGATCTGCCTCATAAGTGGGTTTGGGAATATCTCGATTAATACGCTCTGGAAGACAACGGAGTAGAGGTGTATCCGGTGGAGGAGACAATTGGTTATGAGAATTAACAGAAGACGAGTTCATACTTGGACCTGATATAACATTAGGAGGCAGTTGCTGCTCGGTTCGATGGTAAATAGTGGGCTGCAGTTCATCATCAAGCCCAAACCTCGTGGGCTGCAGTTCATCATCAAGCCCAAACCTTGTGGGACCCGTGGGCTGCTCTTCCTCCTGCAATGTTTGCTGCTCGTCAGTGAGCTGCTCAGTGGGCCGCTCAATGGGCTGATGACCAAAGCACATGGGCTGCTGCCCGTCTCCAGATGCCATGGGCTGATCACCATAACACGTGGACTGCTGCCCTTTTCCAGGTGCCGTGTACTCCAGGCGTGATGACTGCAATGGTTGCTGCTCATTTCTAGCCACGGGAGAGTAATCAAATTTCAAAACTTCACTATTATCTCGGGTCAGAACTTCACTATTTCGGTACTCCCCTTGAAGTGAAGACGCGGATGATCCAAAAAACATTTCATTCTCATGGAAAATCACATCCTGAGTAATAAACATTTTTTGACTCGAAGGATGATAACAACGATATCCTTTCTGGGTAGTAGCGTAACCTAAAAAAACACAACGAATGTCTCGAGGCTCAAGTTTGTTATGCCGTTGAGGGGGATGGAGGTGAACAAAAGCAACACACCCCAAGACTCGTGGGGGAAGATTGGGAGGCGGTGGACTGCTAGTCTGAGATGTGAGAGCCTGAAATGGTGTATGGAAGTTGATAGTACGAGAAGGAAGACGATTAATAAGATAAGCTGCGGATGTAAGTGCCTCTCCCCAATAGTGTAGAGGCAGATGGGCCGCAATGAGTGAAGCACGAACCATTTCTAACAGGTGTCTATTTTTGCGTTCAACAACCCCATTTTGTTGAGGAGTATATGGGTACGTGGTCTGATGAACAATACCATGCAGCTCCAGGAAGGAACGAAGCTCTGTATTAACATATTCACCACCATTATCACTTCGAAGAACTTGGATATTCCTATTGTATTGCTCAACAACCATTTTATGGAACTGTTGAAAGGCTGAACTAACCTCGTTTTTCGACTTTAACAAAATAACCCAAGTCATTCTAGTACAATCGTCAATAAAAGTAACAAACCAGTGAGCACCACCAAGAGTAGCTATTTTTTACGGTCCCCGTACATCAAAATGCACAATCATAAAAGGAACGGTACTTTTATTGAAACTGGGAGGAAAAGAAGTTCGATGGCTCTTAGCCATTTCACAAACATCACACTTAAACTGAGAAATATCAGTCTTGACAAATAAACTAGGAAATAACTTATGCAGATAACTAAATGAAGCATGCCCAAGACGCCTGTGCCACATCCAGATGTCTGACACTTTATTAATATCCCCTTGAGAATCATCAACGGAAAGAGCTTGAGTCAGCAAGCTAGAACTACTGGTGGTCAACTCCAAGTAATAAAGTTTTCCTCTTCTAATACCATAACCAATCGTCTTCCGCGTCCGGATGTCCTTAAAAACACAAAAATAGGGCCAAAAAATAACTAAACAATGTAAGGCAAGGGTTATTTGAGCAACGGACAACAAATTATAATTTAGAGAGGGAACCACAAGAACAGTGTCAAGTTTTATGGTATCAGAATAGGAAACAGTGCCTTCCCCAATAATAGGGACGACATTACCATTAACAACATTGACCTCGGTTTGTGTGGATGTTTTTAATAATGGAACCTGTCTAGAATCACAAGTCATATGTTCAGTAGCTCCGGAATCCATGTATTATTCATAACAGAAGTAGAAGTACTTAGTGCCTTACCATCACTACATGCCGCAGCAATCATGGTAGATGCCTTTTCAGCTATTTGGTCCAAATCATTCTTGGTTTCTGTAACGGAGGCTCGAGATTTGTTACACCGAGGATCACGGGTCTTATCCTAGTTCTCGAGATATCCAATCAGCTCAAAACAGTGACTCTTGGAGTGTCCTATCATGCCACAGTGTGGGCATTTACCTTGGGGACGATCTCGGCTTGTTTGGCTAAGCCGAGTTTGTCTTGGCCAGTTTTGTGACCCTTCTCGGTTCGACCCAAAAGATGATCCATGAGCCTTTGCTACCATGGTAGCGGGTTCACTCTTGTCAACCTCCGTCTTCATTGCTTCCTTCCGATCGGCTTCTCCACAAACATATGCATAAGAAACCTGAAGGCCAAATGGGGGGGTCCTTTTGTAGCACTTCTCCACGCACCTGGTTAAACCCATCATCGAGACCACCAAGAAACACATGGACTCGTTATCTCTCAGTGGATTTTTGAAACACTTTGATGTTGTTTTCACACTCCATGGATACTATATTAAAATGATCCAATTCTTGGAAAATCTCAGTTAGCTCCCCAAAATAGGTAGCCAAAGATCGGCCATTCTAACGAAGATGTGATGCCTTTTGATTCAATGAATAAATTCTAGCCTCGTCATTCTCATCAAAGTATGCGGCCTTAAGGGAGTCCCAAATTTCCTTCGATGTAGACAACTGAATGTACCGTTTCATAATCTCAGGCTTCATTGAAGACAAAAGCCAACTCTTAATTTTTTGATCTTCAGAGAACCACTCATCATATTTAGGATCATCTTCGTTAGGTGCCTTGATAGACCCACGAAGATATCCCATCTTCTTCCTTCCAGCAATATGGATTTGAATGAGAGGAGCCCATAAATCATAGTTCTTTTCATCCAAAACCATACCAATATTAAAGCTTGAATTCTTTGACTGCATCATAATTGGAGCAGATGCTGGAACAATCTTAGAACCTGTCCCTTTTTCTTCAGCCATCTCTCTTGTCGGTATAGCCTAAAAACTGCAACTTGGTAATTGAATAATAAAAATTGGGCAGAAAAACTTGCGGCGTTGATGGGACTCCGGAATAGTTCGAACAAACTGACAAAACAGGGGGCAACAACAATTTCACAATTGCTCGCTGCAATCGATCAAGAACACGGGCAGCAACAACTCCTCTAAGT